ATATATATATATATATATATATATATATATATATACATATTATTTTGCCAATTTAAAAAAAAATAAAACAATAAACTGTGTAGGCTTATGTGATTTTTTTATTTTTTATTGTGGAGTAACTGATAAGATAAGATAGAACTTTATTGATCCCACAGAAAATTGTTGTATTTAGTATTATTTTATCTTACTTTGAAGAAAAAAAGCATAAAGTTAGAGTATAATTTACTCTGTGTGTTAGTACTAATATCCACATACTATATATACCAAGGAAATGACAGGAAAACTGCTACTTTTTTAAACATAAAATTCAGTCTTATGTTAGTTTTGGTCAAAGCTTGAAAGTGCCGCTGTGGAAGGACCAAAGAGTCCTGCGGCTCTGTGGCTCCAGATCCACAGGTTGCAGATCCCTGGTCATGACAATGTCATGTGCTGTGGTCCCATCCTAAATCTGAATAAAAGTTTATCAATAATTATTTAAAGCATTAACTTATTCATATTATTCTAACGACTGGTACAGCTTCTGAACATCTATCAGAGAACTTAAGCTGAACGTTTCATGGAAATCCCTAAAAAAAATGTAGAAACAATGATATTTCCCTCATGTTTTAATGGAAGCTCAGGACATCAATCTTACCAAACGTTCACAACCTCAGCTTGCTTATTCAGATTTACCAAAAGTTGACCTCATCTGCAAATCCTGACAACACACAGTTATTTTCACTGATACATCTATTGAAATATTGTATATAAGTGTGTTAGTTGGGTACAAAATCCTCCCTAAGACCATCTGTGAGGTCTAGATAGACATGTGAGAGCTTCTGGAAAGCTCCTCGTGTGAGACTTGTCCAAAGAACAGAAAGACTGCCCAAACAGAAATCTGTTCACCCAGCAAGACAGAGATCTGCCACCGAAGGCATGCAACGTAGAAAAATAATGACTTTAGTAAGCAGATCCAGTCCGTCGGTGTCAGTGTGACAGCTCTGGTCGCCTTGAGTAGAACAACCTGCAAAGTTCACTCTGAAAGGAACTTACCGCTGTGGATCCTGAGGAAGAGGCGAGGAAGACTTTGATAACCATTTTGTGGCTTTATTTTGTAGAAAAGAAGCAACAAGGAGGGACTTAAAGGAGCAGCCTGCCTCTTCTATTATTAGATCGCAACCGGGACGGAGAAACACTGAGCTCACACACACACACACACACACACTGCTGGGGGTATTTTTGTCTCCAGGCTCCATTAGAGAGGGCCTGGTGGGTGGACTTCCCCTTTTGGTGGGGTGTGAGGAGCAGCCCCTCATACTGATAGGCAACTTCAGCTGTCCATCCGTTCAGGAGTAAAAGACAAGTTGGGTCCCAACTCCGTGTGAAGAGGACAGAAATAGCATCTAGCAGCAGGTCTGGGAGGCTTGAAGAGGGTAGGATCTGTGACTCAGAACAGACTGTGTCAAATCCAGGGTCCGGGTGCTCTTTATTTGCAGAAAACATCAAAAATAAAAATAAAACAACAACAAAAACAGCTCTGGAATCTTTTCCTCCCTCTCTCTGTAAGGTCAATGCATCCCTTATCTTCCTCTTGTTCTGAAGTCAGGTCACGGGGGCAGCAGCTTGAGCAGGGAGGCCCAGACATCTCTTTCCAAAGTCACCTCTTCCAGCTCTTCTTGGAGGACTCCAAGGCGTTCCCAGGTCAACTGAGAGACATAGTCTCTCCAGCGTGTCCTGGGTCTTCCCTGGCGTCTCCTCCCAGTCTGACATGCCTGAAGCACAACTCTAGGGAGGCACCCATGGAGCATCCTTACCAGATGCCCAAACTACCTCAATTGGCTCCTCTCGATGTGGAGGAGCAGCAGTTCTACTCGATGTCTCTCCTGGATGACTGAACTTCTCACCCTCTCTCTAGGTTTGTTTGTCTCGTTTGTCTCTATGTAGCCCTGTGACGGACTTGCGACCCGTCCAGGGTGTACCCCGCCCCTCGCACAGTGATTGCTGGACATGAGCACCAGTGACACCCGTGACCCAAAATGGAATAAGCGGGTAAAGAAAATGGATGGATTCTCATACTAGATGCTTCACACTCGGCTGCAAACCGCTCCAGTGAGAGCTGAAGATTACGACACGATAACGCAAACAGGACCACATCATCTGCAGCTAGCAGAGGTGGAATCCTGAGGCCACCAAACAGGAATCCCTCCACCCCCTGGCTGCACCGATAAATTACGTCCATAAAAGTTATGAACAGAATCGGTAAAATGGACTGTATTTATATAGCGCCTTTCTATCTTATCCAGATACTCAAAGCTCTTTACACAACAATCTGTGTTCTCATTTACCCATTCATACAGCACTCTACTAGAACTCTACAAAGCTAATTGAACAAATCATTCTAAAGAGACCGATCAGTGCTTTGAGATCACGTTCATACACCGATGAGACACAGATCGGAGGCAATGAGGGGTTCAGTGTCTTGTCCATGGACACTTTGGCATGTGACTGCTGGTGAATTCGAACGCCCCAACTCTTGCATTAGAAGACGACTGCTCTAACCAGTCAGCCACAGCCGCCCAAATCGGTGATAACGGGCAGCCCTGGTGGAGTCCAACTCTCACGCTGAAAGGGTTCGACTTACTACTGGCAATGTGAACCAAACTCTTGCACCGCTTGCATAGGGACTGAACAGCCCGTAACAATGGGACCCAAATCCCATACTCACAAAGCACCTCCCACAGTGTACCCTGAGGAACACAGTCAAATGCCTTCTCCAAGTCCACAAAACACATGTAGACTGGATGGGCAAACTCCCATGACCCCTCGAGGACCCTAGTGAGTGTAGAGCTGGTCCAGTGTTCCACAGCCAGGATGGAACCCACATTGTTCCTCCTGGATCTGAGGTTCGACCAACGATGGGACTCGCTTCTCCAATACCCCTGAATAGACCTTACCAGAGATGCTACCTGGTATCTCTGTAGGGTTCAGTTTTTAATTGTGTCTTATATTGTGGGCTGAACACCTCCGGCAGAATAAGATTTTCCTCTCAAGCCACATCAGATTTCTTTCCTACACTTCAGTAAAAACTGTGGGACTGTGGCACTCCCCGCCTCACATCCAAAACTTCAGAATCTACCACCACCACATCTACCTATCTATAGACATATGCTTTTGTCTATCTACCACAGAACCACCACTCCTCCCTAACCTGAAAACAACAAAACAAAACTCAGTCGACTTCCTGTTATCCTACCAAAATAAAACACTTTAACTTCCTGTTCCTCCCTGTGTTCCTTCAAAGTGTTTCACACCCAGTGAAACTTTAAGCCATACATTTAGCTACATGTTTAATTAAGGGTGCTTTCTTCACTGACACCCTGAAAACATTTGGACATGAAAAAACATTTTAAAATTTTGAACCCAATCTACCAGTGAGTGCTTTTTAGTGTTTGTTTGATTTATTTATTTTAGCTTTGTTGTTGCCAAATATGAGTTCTATGTTACATATGACATTTATAATTGTATTACTCACCATAATTTAAGAAAATATCCATCATTGCAGCTTGTAATGTGTAACATAATTGGGAAAGTGTTTGTTTGTTTCCTAATTACTTACAATTTTGTTGCAGATTTAACCTGGAATGGGCATTTCTTACTTTATTTCCTGACCAACTTGAAGTTTTCCTTCTGTTCTCATGGTGGATAAAAACGTGTGTTTGTGGCAGCTCAGTCTAATGGTGGCATGAGGGTGACACTGAGCTGCAGCACAGAGACACCTCCAGATGTCAGTGCTGCAGCTCACACCTGGAGAACCTGGAGAACTGTACATATCTTGGAAGAAAACTTATATTAACCTGATCGCGTTGCATTCCATGTATAATACCAGAGTGCACGGTCATCCTCCTCACATTGTTGTGTGCACCCACACTCTGCAGTGGCTGTGATGCTTCTCAGGATGTGTCTGACTGTAAAGATGGAACTGACAGGACTCCAGATTTCCAGCCACCAGTCAAATGGCAAAGACAGAAGCAAACTGAATTTTAAAAAGGCATCATCTGATTTAATAGCTGTAAACCTACGTAATCTACATTGATAAGACATTGTCAAACATTCTACATTTTCTTGTAAATTAAATATTTAGTTGGGAACTATGACATTTATAAATGTATAAATAACATGTTGAAAATATGACTTTGAAAAAAAACAAAAAATTCTTATTAAAAGCTAAATAGACCAAAATATTGATGTTAATTTTTGACTGTGCAACTTTACAAATGGCACCCCACAGCAGCCTGGACTGCTGAGAAGCTACTGAAGAGTCCTGCATCACCACATGATGGCACTGCAGCTCTTCCAGGACCTCAGGCTGGTTGGTCACATTGTTTCAGTCCAATTTAAATCATAAGGAAATAACTGTGTCTTATGTACAGCTCCTGGAAGAAAACATACGTTTACTTGACAGTGTTGCATTCCTCATATAATACCAGAGTGTGCTGTCATCATCCTCGCATTGTCCTGTTCCCACATTCTAGTCAAACACAACAAAGAAGCCAAAGCCTTCCAGAAGCTGCTGAACAAACCCACTCCAGTCATGACAACTTAGCCTACAGGCCGCAGAAAACAAGCCATGACACAAAGGATGTTCTGCAACAGCTGCTCCATCAGGACCAGAGCCTTTGGAGAGGGAACAACTTACCCTGAAGCAAGGCCTCTGCATATCAGGAAGGACAGTATGGAATACTTTGAGTTGTGTAAAGCCTCTTTTAAATGCCAGATAGTCGCTGGACAAAAAAAAAAAAAAAAAAAGAGGCATAAAGTGTATCCTGCTACTTAGAAGAGGACATCTATCAGCTAACCAGATAAGTTCAGGTGTCCATTCTTCCAGGAGAGAATGATGCTAAGTTAGCTGAAAGTGTTAGAGAAACAGTTAAAGTTGGACTAAGGTGAACAGGTGTAACTGCGTGAACGACGATTCAACATTTACTAAATTAATTTCTGCTTTTTTGCTAGTTTGGGGGGGTTTGCATTGTAACTAATTTAGCATATTTTGCTGTTTTAGACAAAACAAAATCAAAATGTTCCTCTTAGTCAATAGATGGGTAGTATGACTTTTTTTTTTTTTTGTATACAGTGAATCCTCCTTGCTCAAGCTTGGTTACGTTCCAAAAAGAACTCGTGATAGGCGAAATCCGTGAAGTAGTAACCTTTATTTTTTTACAATTATTATACAATGAAATACTCCATAATACATTCAAACCAAAGAACAAAACCTTTTTACAGGCCAAGCATTTGTTTAACAAATAAAAGTCCTGTATAAATGTTTTTTACAAATAACTACTGTAACTTCTGAGACTGTTTAGCCAATCAGAATGCAGAACACAATGCACGATGCAAATCCGTGAAGCAGCGAGACCGTGAAAGGTGAACCGCGTTATAGCGAGGGTTCACTGTACTTAAAAAAAATTAAATTCACAAATAATTTCCCCATTAAGAATTCATTGAGATTTCTTCTGCTCCTTTGAAAATCATTGTTCTCATTAAAATCTGCTTCAGCAGACTTCTTGTATTGTTGCCTTTGTATGCTACTTTTAGCTTTTAACTAGCCTTCTGCCACTTTTAGCTAGTTTTGCTTTTACCTTTTAACAAGCCTTTAACTACTTTTTTCTTTTGACTAGCTTTTTGATGTTTTTTTAAGTGTTCTGTTACTTTTATCCAGCATTTTGCTACTTAAGAAGAAGAAAATGAGGGGTCATGGGAGTTTGCCCATCCAGTCTACATGTGTTTTGTGGACTTTGAGAAGGCATTTGACGGTGTTCCTCAGGGTACACTGTTGGGGGAGCTCCGTGAGAATGGGACTGGGGGCCCATTGTTATGGGCTGTTCAGTCCCAATACAAATGGTGCGAGAGTTTGGTTCGCATTGCCGGCAGTAAGTCGGACCCCTTCATGGTGGGAGTTGGACTCTGCCAGGGCTGCCCGTTGTCACCGATTCTGTTCATAACTTTTATGGACAGAATTTCTCGGTGCAGCCAGTGGGCGGAGGGTTTCCATTATAGTGGCCTCAGGATTCCATCTCTGCTCTTTGCAAATGATGTGGTCCTGTTGGTGTCATCATCTTCAGCTCTCACTGGAGCAGTTTGCAGTGTGAAGCAGCTGGGATGAGAATCAGCACCTCCAAATCTGAGGCCATGGTCCTCAACCAGAAAAGAGTGGATTGCTCTCTTCAGGTCGAGGGTGAGGTTCTGCCTCAAGTGGAGGAGTTCAAGTATCTCGGGGTTTTGTTTGCGAGGGAAGAAAGAATGGAGCGTGAGATTGACAGACGGATTGGTGCAGCGTCTGCAGTATTGCGGACTCTGTACTGGTCCATTGTGGTGAAGAGAGAACTGAGCTGTAAGGCAAATCTCTCTGTTTACCGTTCGGTCTACGTTCCTACCCTCACCTGTGGTCACGAGCTCTGAGTAGTGACCGAAAGAATGAGATCTTGGATGCAGGCGGTTGAAATGAGTTTCCTCTGCAGGGTAGCTGGACTCTCCCTTAGAGAGAGGGTGAGAAGTTCAGTTATCTGGGAGAGACATCGACAGGAGCCAGTTGAGGTGGTTTGGGCATCTGGGAAGGATGTCCCCTGGGCGCCTCCCTAGAGAGGTGCTTCGGGCATGTCCAACTGGGAGGAGACCCCGGGGAAGACCCAGGACACGCTGTAGAGACTATGTCTCTCGGTTTGCCTGGGAATGCCTTGGAGTCCATCCAGAAGAGCTGGAAGAGGTGACTGTAGAAAGAGATGTCTGGGCCTCCCTGCTCAAGCTGCTGCCCCCGTGACCTGACTTCAGAACAAGAGGAAGATAATGGATGGAAGGATGGATGAAGAAGAAAATCCTTGCCATGATGAATGTTTGGTTCATGGCAGGAAATGTTTCTAGTGTTGTCAGCTGTGTACATGTTAAAAAAAAAAGGGCTGAGGTGTTTGTTTATTCAGTTTGGACATATGAAAGTTCCTCAGTGACGGAAACTGAATGAAGCAAGAACTGAAGTGAAAATGATGAGGAGACAGATCATCATCTGCTTAAATGTGCATTTCCTCTGTTCTATGAGCTTAGAGCTCCAAATAAATATATACAGTGCCTTGTGAAAGTATTCAGGCCCCTTGAACTTTTCAACCTTTTGCCACAGTTCAGACTTCAAACTTCCATCCATCCATCCATTATCTTTACCTGTTTATTCCATTTTGGGTCACGGGGGTCGCTGGTGCCCATGTCCAGCAATCACTGTGCGAGGGGCGGGGTACACCCTGGACGGGTCGCAAGTCCATCACAGGGACACATAGAGACAAACGAGACAAACAACCATTCACTCTCTCACTCACACCTAGGGACAATTTAGAGTTACCAATCAGCCTAACATGCATGTTTTTGGACTGTGGGAGGAAACCGGAGCACCCGGAGAAAACCCACGCATGCACGGAGAGAACATGCAAACTCCACCCAGAAGGCCCCTGGACCGGGGTTTGAACCACCAGGGACCTGCTCGCTGAGAGGCAGCAGCTCTACCAGTTGCGCCACCGTGCTGCCATTCTTGCCCATTCTTCTTTGCAAAACAGCTCGAGCTCAGTGAGGTTGGATGGAGAGCGTTTGTGAACAGCAGTCTTCAGCTCTTTCCACAGATTCTCGATTGGATTCAGGTCTGGACTTTGACTTGGCCATTACAACACCTGGATACGTTTATTTGTGAACCATTCCATTGTAGATTTGGCTTTATGTTTTGGATCATTGTCTTGTTGGAAGATAAATCTCCGTCCCAGTCTCAGGTCTCTTGCAGACTCAAACAGGTTTTCTTCCAGAATGGTCCTGTATTTGGCCCGATCCATCTTCCCATAAATTCTGACCATCTTCCCTGTCCCTGCTGACAAAAAGCAGGCCCAAACCATGATGCTGCCACCACCAGGTCTGACAGTGGGGACGGTGCGTTCAGGGTGATGAGATGTGTTGCTTTTACACCAAACATATCGTTTTGCATTGTGGCCAAACAGTTAGATTTTGGTTTCATCTGACCAGAGCACCTTCTTCCACATGTTTGGTGTGTCTCCCAGGTGCTTGTGGCAAACTTTAAACAACACTTTTTATGGATATCTTTGAGAAATGGCTTTCTTCTTGCCACTCTTCCATAAAGGCCAGATTTGTGCAGTGTACGACTGATTGTTGTCCTATGGACAGACTCTCCCACCTCAGCTGTAGATCTCTGCAGTTCATCCAGAGTGATCATGGGCCTCATGGCTGCATCTCTGATCAGTCTTCTCCTTGTTCAAGATGAAAGTTTAGAGGGACGGTCGAGTCTTGGAAGATTTGCAGTGGTCTGATACTCCTTCCATTTCAATATGATTGTTTGCACAGTGCTCCTTGGGATGTTTAAAGCTTGGGAAATCTTTTTGTATCCAAATCCGGCTTTAAACTTCTCCACAACAGTATCTCGGACCTGCCTGGTGTGTTTCTTGGTCTTCATGATGCTCTGTGCTTTGAACAGACCCCTGAGACTCACAGAGCAGGTGCATTTATACAGAGACTTGATTACACACAGGTGGATTCTATTTATCATCATCAGTCATTTGGGACAACTTTGGATCATTCATTGATCCTCACTGAACTTCTGGAGTGAGTTTGCTGCACTGAAAGTAAAAGGGGCCGAATAATATTGCAGCCCCACTTTTCAGTTTTTTATTTGTTACAAAAGTTTAACACATCCAATACATTTTATTCCACTTCACGATTGTGTCCCACTTGTTGTTGATTCTTCACAAAAAATTAAAATTTTATATCTTTATGTTTGAAGCCTGAAATGTGGCAAAAGGTTGAAAAGTTCAAGGGGGCCGAATACTTTTGCAAGGCACTGTATATGTTTGCTAAATATAGAATTTTTGAATTTCTTCAGTGGAGGAAACTAATAAAAAAATTAGAGGCAGTTTTTTGAGTAACAAGATGAACTAAGTAGAAGAGCATAAGCGTACTGTATCACGAAATTGTGTTTATAATCTTTTATGTTTTAAGTATTTCACTTTAATATATCTGTGGGGAGTGGTGGCGCAGAGGTTAAAGGTGAGCCTGTGATCGGAAGGTCGCCAGTTCAACTCCCCGTACCGACAACATCAAAATGTGGGTGGGAAAGGTGAAACACCCACATCTAATTTGCCCCACTCTGGGCCCTTGAGCAAGGTCCTGAACCCCCACCATCTGCTCCCCCAGGCACCCTAGAAACTGATTAATAAAGTTTGCAGCAAGAAAAGCATCATGGGATTTGTAACATGTTACTAGAGGATAATTAGGAAAGTTACAACAGACACGTCTATCATCTTTTGTTCAAAAGAAACTGGACACATTTTGTTCTAAAATAATGTACATTTAAAACGTTCATGCAACAATAAAATATAATAAATTAAAATTACAAATGGAACAGCCTTAATCTTGGTTCAGATTAGCCGACAGAAAACAGCTTTTATTAATCAAAACACGTTTCCAAATCCCAGCAGAGTTTTAGCTGATGGCATTAAGTCCCAGTGTGACAACTTTGTTGCAAACCACCAGCCAGCACGTGATTCCCACACCACCTGGAAAAAAAGAACACATCAGACTGAAAACTTTATATCAATATGTGCTAAAAACAAGTTGCAGTAAAAAGAAAACCTATTATGTTGAGAATTAGCTTATAGGCAAGATCACTAAGGTTATTGTGGTAGTGTGTGGTTCCTGTTAAAAGTGGACCATTCAGCCCTAAAGCCAGCAAATTGTTTGTCTCATGCTGGACAACAAAATAAATTACATAAAATAGATTAAAGTTTGATTCAAGCAGTGGGGTGACCTGCAGTGAAAAGGCAATTTGTCATTGGAGGGGGTCCCAGACAATGCCTTGTCCTAATCCATCCTACCTGCCAAGAATTGTAAATGATGTAAAAGATTCAGAATCCACAATGCTCATTTACTAGTTGATGTTTTTAATTTAAGTCATCCAGTAAGCAGGAACTTGTTTGCACATTCTCCCCATGTCTGTGTGGGTTTACTCCTGGTACTCTGGTTTCTTCCCACAGAATGATGGACTGGTGACCAGTCTAGGGTTTATCCTGCCTCTTACTCCTGGAGATACACCAGCTCACCGTGACCCAATAAAGAAATGTGGGTAAAGATAATGGTTGGATCATGGAAGCAGCTCATCGCCTTCTCTCTCAGTTGCTTCATTGAAACATTCAGTTACTCACAAACTTCATTCATTCAGTTAGTGACTAACTAACTAACTAAATATTTAACCAACTAACTAACCAAATAGTTAACTAATTAACTAGTTAACTAAATAAAGTTAACTGACTAAATAAATAAATAATTAACCAACTAACTAAATACGTAACCAACTAATTAACCTAGTTAAACAACTAAATAACTAAATAGTTAACTAAACAACTAACTAAATAGTTAACTAACCAACTAAATAGTTAATTCACTAAGTAGTTAATTAAGTAGCTAACTAAATACTTAACTAAGTAATTACTTAACCAACTAGCTAACTATCTTAATAGTTAATTAACTAACTAAACAGTTAATTAACTAGTTAAACAAATTGCTAAATAATTAACTAACTAACTAACTAGTTAATTAATTAACCATCTAGTTAACCAAATAGCTAACTATCAAAATAGTTAACTAAAGTTAATCAACTAACTAAATAGTTAACTAACTAAATTTTTTTTTTCTTTTTTTTTCATTTACCCTTTATTTATTCAGGTTAGTCTCATTGAGCCACAAGAACTCATTTTCAAGAGAGACCTGTTTAGGGAACAGATAGTGGGGGTTAAGGACCTTGCTCAGGGGCCCAGAGTGGGGCGAATGAGGGTGGAGGCAGGTGTGGGTGCTTCACCTTTTCCACCCACATTTTTTGATGTTGACGGTACCGGGAGGTGAACCTACGACTTTCTGATCGCAAGCACATCTTCTAACCTCTGCGCCACCACTCCCCCATTTAACCAACTAACTTAAATAGATTGTTAACCTATTAACTAACTAAATAGTTAACTTAACTAGATCATTAACCAACTAACTAAATATTCAACTAACTAAATAGTTAACAATCTAACCAAATAGTTAACCAACTAGCTAACTAAACATTTAACTAACTTATCTATAGTTAATATTTATTGTAAACTTCTATTGCTGGTAAAACCAGACAAGAGGAAAAGTCATTTTATTAACTACAAGTTCATATTCTTAATGAAGAGAGTTCAGGTCTTTAATAAAACATGATGTTTTATAAAACCTTACTTTTATTGTAAAGTAAAAAGCAACATGTGCTTTAGGACATGGCTAGTCAGTGACTAACATGTTTCAAATGACATATGATATACACTGTATCAAATATGATGAAAGGTCTGCGCATTAAACTACATCAATTCTCTTTAAGAACATTTAAAAATGTTTCCTAACACTAAACATTTTTGTTGTTGACAACCTTTTTCCTGGTTGGCTTCATATTATAGCAAACATTTTAAAATGTTCTTATAAAGAGAATTCAAAAAAGTTCAAGACAAAAACAAGTGGACTTCAGGAGCTTCTAAACGACTTCTTAAGAAGAATTGATCTTGTTTAACCGAGGTCCTGTAAACTGCTGTGTTTTCAACATGTTGCATGATCCACATTCTCCTGTCCTTTCGCAACATCTGGACAACTGCTAAGAAACACGAGGGTTGGGTTCTGCAGCCCAGTTAGTGTTGGATGGAACAAATTATAAACCAATCAGATAATTATAAACAACCAGTCATTTTGGTGCTTTCCATTAGAAGCAACTGGAGCCCACAGAGTCCTGACGTTTTGTTAAGCAGAGCGTAATGCTAAATGAACCATTCTGTGGGTAACATCTTAAATGTTGTACCGTGTATTTAGGAAGAAGAGACCGACTACCTGCCACTCCTGTCGGAAAAGCCACAAGTCGCTCCACGGGGGCAATCCATTTACTGGGGACCACAGTCACTGGATCAGAGTAATACTTCCAGATCAATGAGATCATCAGAGCAGCCTGAAGGATGACGAGAGAGACAAGTCGCCACTTTTTTTTACTTTATAGCAATAAAATGATCCCACGACCACCTCGTGTCACGTTTCAAACTAAAAGCTACGATGTGAAGAGCTGTGGTCGTGACACAGCCAGTGTTTTATACAGAGGTGCTGGAACGTTTGTGAACCCTTTACAATGTTCTATATTTCTGCAAAAATATGACCTAAAACATCATCAGACTTTCACACAAGTCCTAAAAGTAGATGAAGAGAACCCAGTTAAACAAATGAGGTAAAAAAAAAAGTCTGCTTGGTCATTTATTTATTGAGGAAAACGATCCAATGTTTCATATTTGTGAGTGATAACGCGTGTGAACCTTTGTTTCAGTACCTGGTGTGACCCTCATGTGCAGCAATAACTGCAGCTACATGTTTCTGGTAACTGTTGATCAGTCCTGCTCACCTGCTTGGAGGAACTTTAGCTCATTCCTCAGCACAGAACAGCTTCAACTCTGGATGTTGGTGGTTTCTTCACATTAACTGCTGCTTCAGGTCCTTCCACAACATCTGGATTGGATTAAGGTCAGGACTTTGACTTGGTCATTCCAGAACATGAACTTTATTCTTCTTGAATCGTTCTTTGGTAGAACCACTTGTGTGCTGAATCATTGTCGCTGCATGACCCACCTTCTCTTGACATTCAGTTCATGGACAGATGTTCTGACATTTTCCTTTAGAATACTCTGATATAATTCAGAATTCATTGTTCCATCAAAGATGGCAACTCGTCCTGACCCAGATGCAGCAAAACAGGCCCACATCATGATACATTGGATCATTTTCCTCAATAAATAAATGACCAATTATAAAATGTTTGTCTCGTTTGTTTAACTGGGTTCTTTTTTATCTACTTTTAGGAATTGTGTGACAATCTGATGTTTTAGGTCATATTTATGCTGACATATGGAAAATTATAAAGGGTTCACAAACTTTCAAGCACCACTGTAGTTACTATTTAATGAACAAAGTACAATATGTATGCTCTTACTTCCAGTCACCACCTACCTGCAATATGTAAAAGACAATGTTCACAACCCACTTCATTTTGGCTTGTTGAGCTGTTCTTGACTGCACTGCAAAACAGAATTATGCAACCATTAAACAATTAATGTAATTAAATCATCTTCAGCAAACAACCCTATTATATTATTATATAACCCATGACTGGTTGATAAACATTATTCATTAAAACACAATAAAATACACATCCATAGATGAATATACATAGAAATGTCCACAATTCTATTTTGAATGATTCAGAAATCATGAAATTCAGTCTGTTTGAAGGCTAAAAACACAAGTTAATAGAGAGGCCGGTCTTGAGACAAAAGGTTTCTATTGAGAAACTCATTTTACAAACCTTTTGTTTACGTTGTAGAGTTCATAGACCACTCAAACACATGAGGACTACAATTGATAAACTTGGTGGTTGAGACCACAACCACCGGTCTGGTTCACAAGTGTGCTGCAGAAGACGTGCACAGCTGTGGAAGGTGCACTGTATGCCATTTACAGCTAAAACGAGAGTTCGTGACCTTGAGTTTGTTGGTGTCACATGACATTCAACAATATCGATAGAAGGAGGAGGGATTTTGAACAACTTTTCTATTGTTTACTTTGATGTCATTTCAACTTGTTTTTAATTGGAGTGAGTGTGTAAGATGTATTTTAAAAAATTAGCACTGGTAGTCCTTTGCACAGTTTAAATTAACTTGATTTATTTTTCCTAGACTTGACCTTTTCCCCCCTTAAAATGACTATTTTATTCAAACGGATTATACAGGTGCTGGCCATGAAATTAGAATATCATGAAAAAGTTGATTTATTTCAGTAATTTCATTTAAAAAGTGAAACGTGTCTAGATTATATCCAATCATTACACACAGACTGAAATATTTCAAATGTTTATTTTAATGTTGATGATTTTAACAGACAACTAAAGAAAACCCCAAATTCAGTTTCTCAGAAAAACAGAATATTGTGAAAAGGTTCAATATTGAAGACTCCTGGTGCCACACTCTAATCAGCTGATTAACTCAGAACACCTGCAAAGGCCTTTAAATGGTCTCAGTCCAGTTCTGTAGGCTACACAATCATGGGGAAGACTGCAGACTTGACAGGTGTCCAAAGGACGACCAGTGACACCTTGCACAAGGAGGGCAAGACACAAAAGGCTAAAGAGGCTGGCTGTTCACAGAGCTCTGTGTTCAAGCACATTAATAAAGAGGCGAAGGGAAGAGAACGATGTGGCAGAAAAAACGTGTACAAGCAATAAGGATAACCGCACCCTGGAGAGGATTGTGAAACAAAACCCATTCCAAAACATGGAGGAGATGTCACAAAGAGTGGACTGCAGCTGAAGTCAGTGCTTCAAAAACCACCACGCTCACATGTATGCAAGACAAGGGGTTCAGCTGTCGCATTCCTTGTGTCAAGCCACTCTTGAACAAGAGACAGTGTCAGAAACATCTCGCCTGGGACTGCTGCTGAGTGGTCCAAAGATATGTTCTCTTATGAAGTAAATGTTACATTTCCTTTGGACATCAAGGTCCCAGAGTCTGAAGGAAGAGAGGAGAGGCACAGAATCCACGTTGCTTGAGATCCAGTGTCAAGTTTCCACAGTCAGTGATGGTTTGGGGGGGCCATGTCATCTGCTGGTGTTGGTCCACTGTGTTTCCTGAGGTCCAAGGTCAAAGCATCCGTCTACCAGGAAGTGTTAAGAGCACATCATGCTTCCTGCTGCTGACCATTCATTCATTCAACCTTTATTTAGACCAGTGCTTCTCAATTATTTTCTGTTATGCCCCCCTCAGAAAGAAGTAATCATTTTGTGGTGAATTTATTTGTTAGCAAAGAATAGAGTCCTAACATTTATTAAACATTACTTTTATAAACTGTGCTTTGACAAACTCATTGATAAAACTAAACATTTAGTCAACGCAAAAGAGGAAAAAGGGGGCGGGTGTCACTCTCGCTTAGAGTTTACTCTTTGTTGCATGCGAGCTGAGTGACGTCCAGAGCAGAGCGCATGGACCATAACAGCAGCGGAGGACGGAGGAGGTGACGGTCGGAGTTTATTTATCGTGTCAGCAGCAGAGGAGAGACACGGTTCATGCATGACTCCCAAAACCACAAGGCAGCCATATTTGTTCATAACTTTATGATTAGGAACGCACGTGACAAAATGAGAATGGTTAAAAAAAATTTAAATAAACTCCCTGCGGCAAAAACAGCATGTTTTCTAGGGTTGCATGTGCCTAATAGGCACTGATGTGTCATGAAGCTTTAAAACAGCAGGTTTTCTTCACTGTTGCAGGCGTTTCAAACACAGTCTGAAATGAAAGCGCTTAATTTTTCAGTTTTACCTGAATCCGTTGCTAACTCGTACGTCATTTTGCCTCTCACCGTGTGTTTTAAGTTTGTCTGTTGCCTTGTTAATTTTGCGCTCCAATCTGGCATATCTTGCAAACTCATCCATCATGCTTATGGAAGACTGCTCCTTCTTCATCTGCTGGATTTCAGCCCTCATCTCACTCTCCTGCTCAGCATCTTTCTGCACCAGCTTGGAGTGTAAAAAGAGACGGGGAAAGAGTTACACAGCACATAGAGCACACAAACAAGGCTGAATAACACATTGTATATTTTACAATACAGCAGTCCCTCGCTACTTCGCTCCATCGCGGTTTTTCAAATTAAAATAGGACATGACACATGAGCCGCACGATTGGCATGGAATATTTAATTTATTTATTATTTAAATTATTTAGCACCTCCTGCACCTTTGTGCAACCCACACTGCAGGATAAGCTAAATCAACTTTTCAGTGGCATTGTTGAGAATGAGGGCATCCCTGAGGAATGGAGGAGAAATGTGCGAGTGTCCATTTTTAACAGCAAGGGTGATGTACAGAGTTGTAAAGTAAAGTGCTGTGTTGTCATTATTGTATGTTCCCACAAAAAGGCGAAATTAGTTCTCTGCATTTAACCCAGTGCACCTGGATACACCCAGTATAGAAGCCAGTTATGTTAACGCCCGGTAGCAACTACAGGGGAATGAAGTTGATGAGTCACACAATGAAGATCTGGGAGAGAGTTGTGGAAACTACACAGATTTGTAACCAAAATGTCCCTAGGTGTGAGTGACAGTGAATGTCTCATTTCTCTCTGTGTCCCTGTGATGGACTGGAGACCTGTCCAGGGTGTCCCCCACCTCTCGCACAGTGACTGCTGGATATGGGCACCAGTGACCCCCGCGACCCGAAAAGGAAGAAGCGGGTAAAGATGATGGATGGATGGAATTCATGTTAGCTTTAATGCTAAACTAGCTACACAATGATTCTCTGCATGAGACCGAGATCGACAATGACTAAAAACATCGCTAAAGCACTCCGCAGTGCAACTTTATCTCCCTACTTACAAAAGATGATGTGGTCGGCAGGAGTATTTTCATGAGATTGCAGACAAACACAGAAATCAAAACTAAGAACCAAGCCATGTTTCCACCCTCGATTTCCGTCGCTCTTCTTCGTCGGTTCATTAATGACGGATCAAAAATGCGTAGAGGTGAAGATCGCCACCTACTGTCCGAGTGTGTAACTACTATTTCCTCTTTAGTGGAGGTTGGCAAACAGCTCAAGGCAGCATTACTGACGGAATGTGACTAAATTAAATAAATACATAATAATGAAATGTATCATTTAATTATTAAATATATCATGAAATAATACAATACACAATTAAATTATTAAATACACAATTAAATTACTTCTTTCATGATTTATTTATATATTTAATTTTGTCACCATACATTGGAGGAGGGAATGTGACAATGAAACAAATAAATACATAATACAAAAATAACAATTTAATGTATCATTTAATTATTACATACATCATTAAATCATTAAATACACAATTAAATATCTAAATACACCATTAAATAGTGTTAGAGTCAGAGATTCTTTATTGTCATTCGCACCACATGTGGTACATGTGGTGGGGCGAAATTATGTACACAGGGTCCCAGTTACATCCAACAATAAAATGATAAAACAATGATAACATTTAAGATATGAACTAAGAAAAACATCAACTAAATATGCACTAAGCACTAATAGCATATAAACATTACTCAAACATCAGCACAAACATGAGCATGAGTCTGTGTGAGCAGATGAGCACGCATGAACACATCAACATGAAGCAGATCAGCAGCAACATGAAACAGATCAGCAGCAACATGATGTGATTTTTTTCCCACAGTGATTATTCTGGTTAGAGATTCATGAGTCTAACAGCCTCAGGGTAGAAGCTGTTCCTCAGTCTAGTGGTTCTATATTTAATGCTCCTTAACCTCCTTCCTGAGGGGAGTGGGGCAAAAAGTGTGTGTGCTGGGTGAGTGGGGTCCTTCATGATGCAGGTGGCCCTCTTCCTGCATCTGGAGGTGTAGATGTCTGTGATGGTGGGGAGGCTGACTCCAACAGACTTCTGTGCAGCGTAGTGAAATGTACCTTTTAAATTTTTTATTTAATTTTGTCACATTCTGTCCTCTACAGACAAGAGTGTAAAAATCATGAAATAAAATAAATACATAATTACCTTAGATCCTAACTTACTCTGCCTAAAAAAATGACCTGATAACTTTTGTTTCTTGAATCTTTCTTAAATAAATTAATTAGGTCTATCAAAGTTCATGCTCAATAATCCAGGTAAAAAATAAATTTAAATAAATAAATAAATAAATAAATAAATAAGTAAATAAATAAATAAAGGCCATGGCTGCCTCAGAGGAGTCAACGGGAGAGAGGGCAGACTCCAGAAACCATCTTATCACCATTGAACTGGTTGGCCCACCATGTGAGTGTGCTGCTTGTGGGACTGAGTTTGTTGTGGCTGATGAAGTCCTTTGGATGAAAGATGAAAAGTTTCAACACAAAGAAACTGTCCAGATGACCTGACTTTGTTTAATTAGGTCTAGTTTTATTTTCATATTATTAAGCTTTTGAATTAAGTGATTTCTCTCATCCTGATCATTTTGACAATACAAAAAAAAAAAAACCAAACATGTTCTATTGTCTCATCTTTCATACAACCACATTTCCCCGTATGGTGTTTTCTTATTTTGAATAAGATGTTGTTTAGTTCAGTATGATCAAGTCTGAGTCGTGATACAATCATCTCCTCCCTCCTGTTCATCTCATTTCTTTTATTTTCCAGTGGATCTACTTAAACCATTGCCCATTTCAGTTTTTCCTCCCATTGCTTTAGCCATCTCTCTCTCATTTTATGTTTTATAATACTCTTCACTTCTGTCCTACTAAACCTAATATTAATATTAACTAAAAACCATTTGTATTTTGCCTGTGCCGTCTTATCTGCTATTTCATTTCCTTTAACCCAGTAAGCTGGAACCCATATAAAGTTAACAGTCAACCCCATCATACTGATTCTATAAAGTTCGTCTTGTCTTGTTGTTTCAATTACTAATACTGAAACAGCAAATTATATCACATATCACAGATTTTCTGTCAGTTGTTTGTGGAAAGTAATCAAAGAAACAACGGTATCGTATAAAGACTGAAATAGAGCTAAGTGTAGAGAGGATTGATATAATGGGTGTACAGAAATGGTGCTTTAGCTCTGCAGATTGGGAAACCTTCACGTGTATTGATGTAAAAATGCAACAGGTGGATATAACTAGTGAAGTGGGTGATTTTTATTTTACTTTGTGTAATGTTAGTCTAGAAGCAGCTGCTGAACTATAATAAAGGAGGAAAAAGTGAAAGGAGGATTGTACCCTGGTAGACAAAAGAATGCAGTAAAGCACTTAAGAACCGGAATAAAGTTTTTAAATCATTGGAACAAAATCATAACTCTCTGAATCTGATTGAATATAAATTACAAGCTAATGCAAGAACTATTAAAAAAACTATAAAACCTGAACTCCAGGTGTCCAGCTGTGATGTCTGACATTTCTGTGTTAAATGGTTATCAAATTAAATCTGTTTAAAGAAAGACCCTGACCTGGCTTTGACCCCCATGACCTTAAAATATTGTCGACCAACCAGGTGTCCAGCTTTGAAGGTTGACATTTCTCTATGAATGGGTTATCAAGTTAGAGCTATTTAAAGATAGAGGCGACCTTAGACCTTGAACTTTGACCTTGTGACCTTGAAATCAATAGAGATCATTGTTGGTCAACAAAATGTCCAGCTGTGAAGTTTGACCTTTATTTGTTGAGCAATTATCAAGTTACGATGTTGTAAGGAAACTCAGTTCTCAAACCTTAGATTAATCAAATATTGAATGAATTTGGAATAAAAATGGAACAAATGATGACGTTTAAACAGACCGGTAAATCTATGATTTTTTTTGGATCCTCTGCCACCTGTCAATCAACTCAGCAGGCTAGTCAGCAACTGACCAATCAGCGACCTCAATTTGTCTCGAAGGTAAACGCCCCTTACCAGCAGGAGCTCCACCCCCTTTATCACTGACAACATTGTCGAGGTTTTGCTTTACAGTGTTGCCAAGTCTGCTTATTATAAGCGACTTTGGGCTTGTTTTTCTCTAAAGTCGTTTGCAAATATTGTGAGTCGCAGGTTGCGTTTTTTGGGGGGGCTTGTTTTCGAATGTGAAGTTTCTTTTTTGGTCTTGACTTTCTTTCCAAGTGAAACCAGTTGATTATCTCCCAGCTCCACACAGTAACGCAAAATACTAGTGGTAGTAGGTAGTTTGTCCCTTCCACACCCCGTTTCCTGTTTATTGCTCCCGCCCAAGTTGGCAGGCGACAGATGCACTGCACACCCAAACAAACACTCATACTGTGGCCGACCACTAGAGGGCTTCACTCACACGAAGATGTCAGGATGTTTTGTTTTTAAAAATATGTAGCAAAAATCAGATTTACATATTTCTTACATATGCTAAATATTTTTTTAATTATCAGAGCTTAAAAGTATGTTATTCAAAGTGTTGAGTATAATTTTGCTGTTGTTTATGTGTAATCCCATAATAAATGTATGCTCATACTGTTTAAAACAGCCTCGGAGATCTGGCAACACTGAGCTGTGTGCTCTATTCACACAAGGAGAGCTGTGGGTCAGGCTACTTCTTCCTGTGTCCTGCTCTCTAAAATCGTTATTGAATCAAATGTTTACGTAGATACTGTACTTTCTGCCATACTTGTCACACCGCCGTATAAGTCGCATCAGTCCAAATATGTCTAAAAAAGTAGAAAAATCCATAAATACGTTGCTTCGCCGTATACGCTGCTTTGCCGAATACGTCGCTTCGCCGAATACGTTGCATATATTATGCGTCACCGCTGACGCGTCACGTTTGTTACACGTCACCGCTGACAACCCAGAAAGGTGGGCCGGTGTTGTGCCAAAAATCGATGGGCTGCCAAATAACGGCCACAAGAGTGTGCACGGGAGTACTTTCACAATAATTTAACAAGATTAACACCCAAAAACAATTATTTGTTTGCTCGAAATTATAGAAAAGGTGTGTGTCAGTCTAACATTTGCAAAACAATTATTTGTTTGCTCGAAATTATAGCAAAGGTGTGTCTCAGTCTAACATTTGCTTAATAAATGAACTTTAATGGTCAAATTAGCTGCATTTCGCCGGGGCGGTGCAACTGGTTTGACGGTTGCTCCAAGCAGCAAGCAGAAGGTGGCAAGACAATTGTGTCATTAATAGCTGGTGAAGATTCTCAGTCATCCAGGACATGGTAAATTCAAAAAAAGTTCAAGACAAAAACAATTAAATTTAAAGTATAATAAATAAAGTCCAGTTGATTTTGTGTTGAAATTTTTTGAATTGGTCACTATAACCACTTTTACCTATTACATGATACAACGGCATGCCTCATTGCAACTACTACTCTATTGCCATCTAGTGGCTGAAAGGGGTACTGCTCAATTTTTTTTATGTCAGAATGAATGAAAACGGTCATATCTCAGCCAAAAATTGGTTTATAAATATGGGGCAAAAATCCATAAATACGTCGCTTCGGCCTATAAATTGCAGGGCATGTAAATTATGCAAAAAAAACAAAACAAACAACAACAAAAAAACAGTGACTTATATGCCAAAAATTACGGTAAACCTAGATGTTTTGTTGTAGGGGCAGGGCAGCCGACACGGGACTCGAAGGTCTTGGGTTCAATCCCCGGTCATTGCACATCGCGTGGTGTCTCTGAGTAGGACACCTAATCTCGAATTGCTGCCCGGGCGCTTACATAGCTGCCCACTGCTCTATCTGGGTGTATCCCACGTGCGATGAGTTAAATGCAGAGAGCCAATTTCGTCTTTGCATGGGAACATACAATGATGACAACACATAGCGCTTTATTTATTAACAACCTGTTAAAATACACCAGAAATCAGGAAAAGGCATCTACTTTGTTCAAAATTTTATGGGGGAGAACCCACCACCACATTACAAATGCTTCTGGCCACCTTGTTGTTAGAGCCATTGTCAGAACTGGGGGCTGAGCACCCCTAAAGGTCATATTCTAGAATCGCCCCTGTATGAACGGTTGAAATAGCACAAAAATTGCAGAACGAGTTAGATGCTCCCACACAAATGTGTAAAACAAAGGGAACCAGAAAAAAGACATCAATAGTGAGATTGTTAATAAATAAAAAAAGCGTTCACACAAATATTAGCTGGGGCGAGTCTGTCAGGACTGTGTGTCAGCTGCAGACTGATTGGCACCCATGCTGCCCACACAGGTGAGATGTTGTGTTTCAAAATCACGCTGCCCTGACCTCAAAGCCAATCAGTGGAAGCGATGGGCGGAGACTGGCTCTTCCTGCAGGTTGGTAGGATAAGAGATAAATATACCGAGCGAGCGATCCAATCCGGTATGAGCTAGTTGTGGTACTGGTCGGACCGTCATGTAAGTACACGCACACTGCTCCAGACAGAGGCTGTTCACTTCAGCCTTCCTGCGGTGCTTTTCTTCCAACACTAAAGGCTCCGTTATTCCGTCATAAAGTCAGCAACAATGGGAAGGAAAAAAGTAAGTGTGCATTAAAGTTGGTAAACTTATCGTCGCGTGTATTTTTCGACGCGCTTGTAACGTTAACCGCCTTTTTTTTTTTTAACCGAGGCCACGTATGATGCGTTCAGGGAAGTGGCGCCTTTTTTTTTTTTTTTTTTACTGGGCCAACATGCCTTTAGAAGAGCAAGTTTGAGAGCTGCACAGTCACGTCGTGTGGTCGGACTTCACCCCCGTTCGCTTCTTAACTCCAGAAGGGTTTAGCTTGTAGACTGAATCAAGGAGTGTAACCGACCACCGTCAGAACAGGTTTTAACTTGAAGGGTTTATCGGTCGTGAACGTCACAAGCTGGTTAAGTGCGCACTTTTTCACGTAACGGTGTGTGTACGTATATATATGTATATATGTATATATATGTTCTAGTCAGGCCTTATATTTGACGCAGTTTGCTGCCCGCCCTGGTAAGATTTGAAGCTGCTGTTGAAACGGTGTCCAGTTTCATGTGCAGCTGACGGAAAACATGGCGGCACGTTTTGAAACGAGCTGGAGCGCAGTGGATGTTCTGTGCGAATACAAAAGTCTGAACCTTTCTCTGACCATAATATCCTACAGATGATGTATAATTTTGTGATTTAATGTGAAGGAGAACAGCTGGCTGTTTTTCAGTTCTTGTTGATTTTTATTTTATTCTTCTTTGACTCTCGCAGGCAACATCTGATGCAGATGCAACTTCAGAGGTAAGTAGGTCCAGAGACATCCTGACATGGACGTTTGTTTTCACTTCCTATGATTAAAAAACGGGGTGTAGAAAATGCAAAAACAGACTATTGTGTAATTATGCACAATCCAGTGTAGACATGGATGTATTAGAGATGATATAACTCAGTATCCATCCATTTATTATCTTCCGCCTATTCCAAAGTCGGGTCATGGGGGCAGCAGTTTGACCAGGGAGGCCCTTGAATCATCTCTTTCCACAGCCACCTCTTCCAGATCTTCTGGGAGGACTCCCAAGGTGTTCCCAGACCAACCGAGAGACATAGTCTCTCCAGCGTGTCCTGGGTCTTCCCCGGGGTCTCCTCCCAGTTGGACATACCTGGCATCCTTACCTGATGCCAGAACCACCTCAACTGGCTCCTCGATGTGGAGGAGCAGCAGTTTTCTCTGAGTCTCTCCTGTATAACTGAACTCACTCTATCTCTAAGGGAGAGTCCAGCTACCCTGCAGAGGAAACTCATTTCAACCGCCTAACGTACAGTAGTTCCTCGATTATCGTGGGGGTTACTTTCCAGGTATCACCACGATGGCTGAAAAACCATGAAGTAGGAACGCTATATTTATTTTAGTATTTATATTTGAAGGCTTTATAAACCTTTCTCACACTCGTGCACTGTTCTTAACTCTTAAATCGATGTAATTTTAACAACGTATGTACTGTACAGTACTGCAAAATTTTACTGACCAGCTCTGCAGAGCAGCAGCTCTGTTCCGGTTCTACAGACCTACCCTGCAGCATGAAACCCACCGCCCCGTCCAGGTTGATATACCATTTTATTTATAGAGCACTTATAAACGGCTACAAGGCCAACCAAATTGCTGTACAGACAGAACAACAGACAAAGCAATATACAAAATGAAGTAAATCAAAAATATAGACATAAAAACGATGCAGATAATAAATATGACGACAAACCAGTGTGGATATGGACCGTATTGGATAATTGAGCTTCAGGATTATTTGTGACTTTACTGCCAGTTCTGTGAGCTGTATAGATCATTACTTCTGACTTTACGTTTCAAAACATTTTGACGGAAAGCAGCGGCCCGAAGCACTGTTGACTTCTGGGTAATCTAGTTATTTTGTCTGGCATTACAGTTTAGGCTTATTGAAAGAAAACTACAAAATGGCAGTGCCTGTCCAAAGTATTTTATTTATTTATTTATTTTACCTGTACTGTCTCAATCACATGAGTAATATTAAAGTTGACAATGAAAAACTGAAGTAGTGAGGGACGATTGTAGTTCATTTTAAAGTAGTGTTTTGTGGAGAGGTTGTGAACAATTAATATCTTACCTGTTGTATTGTCTTTGAAAGGTCTTAGATTTAAGAAATAGATTTAATTTTTATGGGTTAAGGGTTAGTCTGAATGCAGCCAATGCTGATGTACCGGTAAATTGATGTCATCCTGGAACAACAGTAATCTCGTACCTTTCATATATGTTCACATGAAGTTTGTTTTTTAGACTCTTAAGAGTGCAGGTAATTTTGCAGTATCCAGTTATTTACTTCAAACTCTGGTCATTTGCATCACATAGCAGCAGCACTGCTCTGTGGCTCTGCTGGTGAACTTAACAATATTTTAGCCAGAATAAAGGTAGTATCTCACTCACATGACTGTTGGTGTCTAGATTATATTCATTCATTACACACAGACTGATATATTTAAATGTTTATTTATTTTAATGTTGATTATTATAATTGACAACTAATGAAAACCCCTAATTCAGTATTTCATAAAATTTGAATATTGTGAAAAGGTTCAATATTGAAGACACCTGGTGCCACACTATATTCAGCTGATTAACTCAAAACAACTGCAAAGACCTTTAAATGGTCTCCGTTTAGTTCTGTAGGCTACACAATCATGGGGAAGTCTGCTGAGTTGACCATGTGTCCAAAAGACGACCAGTGACACCTTTCACAAGGAGGGCAAGACACAACAGGTCATTGCTAAAGAGGCTGGCTGTTCACAGAGCTCTGTGTCCAAGCACATTAATAAAGAGGCGAAGGGAGGGAAAATATGTGGTAGAAAAAAGTGTACAAGTAATAGGGATAACTGCACCCTGGAGAGGATGTTGAAACAAAACTCGTTTCAAAATGTGGGGGAGATTCACAGAGTGGACTGCTGCTGGAGTCAGTGCTTCAAGAACCACCACGCAAACTTATGCAAGACAAGGGTTCAGCTGTCAAATTCCTTGTGTCAAGCCACTCTTGAACAAGAGACAACATCAGAAGTGTCTCGCCTGGGACTGCTGCTGAGTGGTCCAAAGTTATGTTCTCTGATGAAGTAAACGTTACATTTCCTTTGGACATCAAGGTCCCAGAGTCTGGAGGAAGAGAGGAGAGGCACAGAATCCACGTTGCTTGAGATCCAGTGTCAAGTTTCCACAGTCAGTGATGGTTTGGGGTGCCATATCATCTGCTGGTGTTGGTCCACTGTGTTTTCTGAGGTCCAAGGTCAACACAGCTGTCGCGTCTACCAGGAAGTTTTAGATCACTTTATACTTCCTGCTGCTGACCAGCTTTATGAAGATGCAGATTTCATTTTCTAACAGGACTTGGCACCTGCACACGGTGCCAAAGCTACCAGTACCTGGTTTAAGGACCATGGTATCCCTGTTCTTAATTGGCCAGCAAACTCACCTGACCTTAACTCCATAGAAAATCTATGAGGTAATGTGAAGAGGAAGATGTGATACACCAGACCCAACAGGGTCAAGGGTTTTCATTAGTTGTCAGTTATCATCATCAACATTGAAAGAAATAAACATTTGAAATATATCAGTCTGTAATGAATGAATATACAAGTTTCACTTTATGACCAGCACCTGTAAATTCGATATTTGCACAGCAGAGGCCAATAAGACATTAGAGTCCAGCTCTGCAGTATAACCACTTGCACTTTCTAACTTTGTGCAAGTGAAAAAAAACAAGTAAGCAAGAAAATAATTTAACTTTGACTTTTGGTTTCATGGTCCTAGTTTTCAAAACAAATCCTGCTTTCTGTTTTTATTCTGTTCATTCATTCATATTTTTGCTCATGCCAAACGAGGACGGAGTCTGCTTTTTAAAAACGCTTTAACGTTTGTTAACCTTTTATGTAACCAGGTGAATCATTGAGTTCACAGATCCCGTGCAAAAAAGGCGTGGACATGGAACTTAACTAAACGTATTTGTGTCTGAATTGTAGAATTGTTTGTTTCTTCTGTGCTTATTTCTCTTCGATAATGTTTTAGACTCGTACAGAATTTACTGATCCACAAAATTCTTTTTTATTTTTCCTTTCAGCCAAGGCGTAAGTCTCAAAGGTTGTCAGAAGTAAGTTCCACAAAGAGCCTGACAGTTTAAGAAATGACATGTGCACTCCATTGTTGCATCATGTTGTTGTTGCTTTATTTGTATTGTGTGTTTGCTTCACAGAAAGAAACGCAACCTAAACCACAAGCAGAAAAGAAAAAGGTGCAGAAATCCATTCTTTTTAATTGCGAAAGAGCACACTGCGTGCATTTTCTTATCGGTCAAGCTTTAGTTTTAATAGTCCGTCTCTTGTTTTGGCGTGTTCGTGGTAGGCACCATCAAAGACCAAGAAGGTGAAGGAGGCAACGAAGGCCAAGGCCGGGGAGAAAAAACAAGCTCGGGCCGAAAATGATACTCCTGCAGAAAATGGGGAAGACCAAGCTGATGAGGTGGGGATGAGTTTGGCTCTTTTTAATAAATTTTTATCTGAGATCATAGCCATTAAGCATGTTTCCCTCACAGGCCACAGGCGCAGCTCAGGCTGACAAAGAGGAGGACAAGGCTGAAGAGGAAGCAACAGAGTAGATTTAACGGTCTCCTTTTCTTGTAAAATGCAGAGAATATTTTAGCTACGGTTTTCTAAATTGTTTTTAGCAGGGTAATTTTTTGTGTGTGTGTTGTTATATGTAAACTACTATATCACTTACATTTTCAGAGCTTTTGTAAAGGGAGGCGTGTTCTTTTGTTGCATTCCTTTATCAGGACTGGGAAAAGTCTGCTGTGCTTTTAAAGCTCTTTCATCCTTTTCAGTATCCTCCTGAGACCCTGGAGAAAAAGTACCAGTATCTTGGTTTTATTTTAATTGTTTCATATAAATCAAGGTTTGGGGTTGTAAAAATCACACTGCAGAACCTGTTTTGTTTTTATTAAATGGTACACAACGGGGCTTTGTTGATCGAAAGTGTGAAACACTAACACTTTAAGAAATGACTGTGACAATTGAAAACTCCACAGAAATATTTGTGAACAGAATATTAAATCTTTTTTATTTTCATTTAGCCTTTATTTATCCAGGTAGTCTCATGAGCCACGAGAACTCATTTTCAAGAGAGACCTGTTTAGGGAGCAGATGGTGGTGGTTTAGGGACCGGGCTCAGAGTGAGGCGAATGAGGGTGGGGGCAGGTGTGGGTGCTTCACCTACCCCACCCACATTTTTGATGTTGTCAGGGCTTGAACCAACGATCTTCCGATCACAGGCCCACCTTCTCTAACCTCTGCGTCACCACTCCCCCAAATAATAAACGTATTTATGTAAAACAGAAAAGCAGATCAGGTTCTAACTTTTCGAGCTTTAGGCAACTGGCCTAAGAACAACAGGTTAGACCTTTGTCCTCACAGAAGTCCAGTCATTTATGATGCATGTGGCACATGTCACATATGTTGTACTGTTGCACACAGCCAGACGAGCTGCACATAAAGGGCCATGGACTCTTGACCATTGCTGGCAAGTGGACTGCACTGTATTTTCTTTTTCTCTCATTTGGATGGTGCTTCAGTTTCTTGATCCCTGGGGAGAAGTCCTTTATTAAATGTAATGTCCGGTACTTTTATTCCATAAAATGAGCTTGTAGGGATGCCAGCCATTTTGATAAGACGGGAAAGGGAAGCTTGGCAAAGTATTGTCGTTTGCATCACACGTGGTACATGAACAAAGTTGTTTACTCAAGGTCCTAGTTACCCCACCAAAAAATAGCCAAAATACAAAAAAGAAACTACAAGAATGTAAGATATACGCTAAACAATAATAAAGAAATGTAATAGTGTATTAAACAGCAGCTTAAAGGCAAGAAATGTCAAAGAAACATCAGAAGTTTGTAGTGATAGATGTAGTATGAGATATAAGCAAAACAAATGTACTACAGTGCACAAAAATTAATACTGTGTCTCAGGAGGGTAGAAGGAGATGTTTATTTTTTGACACTTCGAAACAAAGACCAATGTTTTCAGCTGCCCTTTAAACAAGGTGGTGTCTTCTGTTAAAAGCAGCTGTATGGTTTGGGAGTTCTTTCAATGTACAGTTTCTTTCCTTTTAAAGAAATGTTTTTGCTATGGAAGGTTTAAAATGCCAATTAAAGTGGGGAAATGTCTTTGTGTTGTTTCTCATTTCAGTCGGTTTTGTGTGTTCAATATTAGAAAAACACGCAGTGACATTGTTAAATATGAATACCAGAAGCTGTTAACCCCAATTTTCTTACATTTCTGTTCTGTCTTCATTTGGTCAAATACGTATAAAACTGTGTTGCACTTCAACTTGGTTCGGTTTATGTAGTCTTGTGATATTGATGCTGCAAAGATACTTTATTAAAATATTGTGCAGCCATTGTACTGTTAATTATAATTAAAAAAATGAAATCATATGTACTTTTGTTAGCAGGAAAAAATTTAGATTGACAACGATGACCAAAAAAAAAAAATCCCATTCACTAATAGACACTGAAATATTTCAATTACTTGTACTTGCTGCTTCCTTTCTGTTACTCGGTTGAGTTCTCAGCAGCAGTCTGGATTAATGCAGATTAGCTGGACTAGTTTATATATTCATTTCTTCATAACATGTTAAAAATAGAACATTGGGCTGAGCTTCCCTTTGGCCATTTTGAATAAATTCGTAATAATTAGCTGCTTTACCAGCTGAACATGTTGAAATAGTTTTATGGCTTGAAATGAAATTTTGGCCAAACTAATACTTTTCTATAATTGTAGAGCATTTCGCTCTAGCAGAGATTTTGATGTCTTTGTTCATGTAAATTGATCAAATCAAGCAACGAGGCTTGAATATATGCCTTTTTTAATGCATCTAAATTGTAGGATTGATTTGTGCTTATTTCCTTTTGGAAAGTTATTCGATCGTACGTTTGATAAGAGAACTCCTCTACCCTCACATTTTCTTAGCCAAGGCTCAAAGTCCAAAGATAATTCCATTAAAACCTGACGACTTGATGTGTGTTCTCCGTTTTTACAAAGCATGTTGCTTTATTGACTGCAGTGCTTCAAAGAAGGAAATGCAACCTAAACAACAACTAGAAAAGAGTGGTGCAAACGTACAAAATACAACTACCCAGGGCTTCATTTGAGACCCGGCAGGCATTGACAGGAACTGTTTTCTTGGATCCAGGAACTCTCGGGCCTAAAAATAAGTTTATGAACAAATTTGACTGCCTTGAATGAATAAAACCTACACTGCCTGGACAAAAAAAGTTGCCTACTGGATTTAACTAAGCAAAAAGGTACGAGCCTCCTGTTGGACAATTACTGCATGGATGATTATCTTTCAGCTGCAACAAGTTATTTAACTCCCAACTGGTGCAATGAGTTGCTTCTCATTTCTTAAACAACCACGTTGAAAGACACATCGTCTGGTCGTGGAAAACATGTCAGTCTGTTTGAGAAGGGTCAAATCATTGGCATCAAGCAGAGAAAACATCTAAGTTGACTGAAGAAACTACTAACATTGGGTTAAGAACTGTCCAACACATTATTAAAACCTGGAAGGATAGTGGGGACCCATTGTCTTCAAGGAAGAAATGTGTCCAGAAAAAAATCCTGAATGATCATGATCAGCGATCACTTAAATGTTTGATGAAATCAAATGGAAGAAAAACAACAGCAGCTCTCAGGGACATGTTTAATAGTGAAAGTAAGAGCATTTCCACACACAGTGAAGGAAACTCAAGGGATTGGGACTGAACAGCTGTGTAGCCTTAAGAAAACCACTAATCAGTGAGGTTAACTGGAAGAAAAAAAAGACTTTAATTTGCTAGGGAGCATAAAGATTGGACTCTGGAGCAATGGAAGAAGTCATGTGGTTTGATGAGTCCAGACTTACCCTGTTCCAGAGTGATGGGTGCATCAGGGTAAGAAGAGAGGCAGGTGAAGTGATGCACCCATCATGTCTAGTGTCTAGTCATCACTGCAAGATCTTGGTAAAAAATTAATGCAACACTGGATGGAAATAGATCTTGTGACATTGTAGAAGCTTATTGAAACAAAGCCACAGTGAATGCATGATGTAATCAAAGATAAAAGTGGTCCAACAAAATATTAGTGTGTGACTTTTTGGTGGCAACGTCTTTTTTTGAGCCAGGCAGTGTATATTGGCTGTAAACTGAAAATAATTACATAAACACTCATTTTAAACAACGAGCTTCCTAATATCACATCAGAGCTGTCGCTTTGCATTTCTGCATCTGCTCTTAAAAAAAAAATCTCTGCCCCTAAAAGTTCAAAGTCACGGACAATTTTATTATTAAAAAACACAAAAATATCATTAAGCTTTTTGCACTTCTCATAAGTTGCTACGCTTTTGTGTGAACAATCTGACGAGTGAATCACTGCAGGAGTTATCTGAACTGTAAAAAAGAGACGATGATCTTGGCTCGTAAAGCTGTTTGTCGTGCAGTCAGAGTATTTATGTCGGAGCGACCAGGACACTTTTCTGAACTGAGCACGAGGATTGAGAGCAACATTTTTCTAAGTCGGTGACAAAGCTCTAAATATTAGGCAGTTTTTCTAGGTGTGGCCAAAGACTTAGAGCAGTGCTTGTTGAACCCTACATTTTAACACAGCACCCCAGAAAAATAAACCATCATTAAGATTTTGTAAGGAAACAATTCTCAAACCTTAGATTCACCAAAACATTTCACAAATATGGAATAAATGATGTCGGTCTTAAACGGGCCAGTAAATCTATGCTTTTTTATATTTTTTGCACGAGTCGCGCCTGTCAATTATCCCAGTAGGCACATCAGCAACTGACCAATCAGTGACCTCAATTTGTCCTGAAGTGAACGCCCCTTACCTGCAGAGCTGCAGCGGGTTCGCATTGTGAACGCTTTGCAGTCATGAAGATTTCAATAATGAGTTTACATCGTTTGTTTCATGTTAATCTACTGTAACATCTTTGTAAAATACACCAGAATGCAGGAAATGTCATGACCACCCCCGCCTGCCCGCTTTTTGCGTTCCGGCATTGTTTGGTTTACAAATGAAACCCTGCAACTCACAGTGAACTCAGAGATTTTGCTCAGCAGTCGACTCAAATCTACAGTGCCTCAAAATAAATACATTTCCACTAGAGCACAACCATCGGTAGGGCTGACGTGGCATTTGGGGACATTGATGATAGTTGGCCCATTATGCACCAATTTAAACACCTACTTTTCACTCCTAAAATACTGGGAACCAGCTGTTACTGGGAAAAAAGGCGCAATTATACAATGTATCCAGCAGAGTGCGCATGAAGACTACTTTCAAGTCATGTCCATTCACATTAAGTTTCACTTTCAGCACAGCTGAAGCAGGGAGCAAGATTGTAGTTGTTTTGCTGAACAAAGCATACGTTTATAGTAACTGATCTGTAAAATAAATAAATTATGCAACACGCTTGCCTTATGCCTCTCAAGTTAGCAAGCCAACGTTTAGATAACCTAGCCTCGTAAAACTTTAGCCAGAGCAATAAATCCAGCGTAGAGGTAAAATTTATCGGTGTTAGTAATGTTATCTTTGTTGTCTTCAATGAAATGCACTGTTTGTTGTCTGAAATCTTTACTTCTCAGCAAAGAAAAGAAAAAACGCTGCTGGGGTCAATGCTAATTAGGCCTTCATCATACGTGACTGACATAAACCAGGAGTCCTCAAACTTTTGGGTTCAGGGACCCCTTACAGGGGAGAAAAAGTTTCAGGGACCCCCTCATAACTCTCATGTTTATTAAATAATTTTCTTCAATTTGTCTCTTTAATACAATGGATATATTTGTGTAACATAAATACTTAAGACCTGTACTTTAATGTTAATACAAATTTTATACAGGTACTTTTAAACATGCGGTGTTTTTAATTCAAGACACAATTAACATCCATCCATCATCTTTATCCGCTTCTTCCCTTTTTGAGTCGCGAGGGTCACTGGTGCCCGTGTCCAGCAGTCACTGTGCGAGAGGTGGGGGACACCCTGGACAGGTCTCCAGTCCATCACAGGGACACATAGAGACAAACAACCATTCACTCTCTCACTCACCTTTAGAGTTACCAATCAGTCTAACATGTTTTTGGTCTGTGGGAGGAAACGAGCACCAGGAGAAAACACGCATGCACGGAGAGAACATGCAAACTCCAGCCAGAAAGGCACCGGGATTTGAACCGGGGCGACCTGCTCGCTGAGAGGCAACCAGTTGCACCACCGTGCTGCCCTCACTTAATTAACAACATTTTCTGATTCCAACTTCCAAAAATTACAGTTTTAAGAAAATTAACAGTATCAAACTTTAAAACTTTACATATTCACATAATGAACATATATTCTTCAAATTATTACAGAAGACTTTTTATATAAAACTGAACAGAATCATAACAACAGTTGTAGCAAGTAATAGAGCTTCATTTGTAAACTGATCATTGCTGGAATGTTAATATATGGGGGGGGGTCTCCCCCAGAGAATTTTGAATACAGTAGATGTGATTTTCTGCATTTTGTTGTATTTTAACAGGTTGTTAAATATCTACGTGCTTGTAAAGAAATTTAAAAAATTTTTAGTGGACCCCCAAGCACTGGCTCACGGACCTCCAGGAACCCCAGTTTGAGAACCACTGGTTTAAACAATGAACAGGGAAGGGTGTTTCTTTGTTTAATTCATATTTTTGTAACGCACTTGATGTCCCTGTGATGGACTTGCGACCTGTCCAGGGTGTACCCCGCCCCTCGCACAGTGACCGCTGGACATGGGCACCGGTGACCCCCGTGACCCAAAATGGAAGAAGTGGGTAAAAGATAATGGATGGATGGATGTTAGGAACACTGTTTCAAGACTTCAAGTGTTCAAACAGGGTGGACAAAGCTCAAAAACTGTCAGCCATTATCAGTTACTGGCATTAGCCTTCCCATCCCTAGATCGGTACTGGTGATAGCCAAAATTTACACATTGGTCAGGCTCTAATTCCTACCTTTTGAACTTTTCTATATGTAACATTGCAATATTTTCACGTTACAACTGCAACTTGAAAAGTTTGTGCTGGCATCTTATCTGATAGACCAACAAAGTGGAAAAAATACAAGTGGAATAAAAAATGTTTTTCACAAGTAAACATGTAAGGAGTGTGGTGAGTGGCTCTGTGAAGGCTTCGGAGGTTTGTTACCAGTATAAGTGATCAAATATGAAGACTAAAGAACACACCAGACGGTCAGGAATGAAGTTGAGAAGTTTAGAGCAGGGTTAAGTTATAAAACAATATTCCAAATGTTCATCATTTTACTGAACACTGATCATAAAACTGAAAAGAGATTGACAACTGCAAACTTTACTTTGAAACTTTACAGGCAAACAGCGGAACCAGAACAAACTTGAGTCCATAAATGCAGACCCTCTGACAAATATTCACATTAACAACTAATATAACTGGTTCCAAAACTGACCAGTTATTGTAGGTAGAACAAGTGTGGACAAATGTTTGATTAGTTGAAATGAGTTTAACAAAAGAGTATTTATATATTTTTCTAAGTTTCAATTTTTTGAGGGAAAACCACAATCTTTTCAATAAATATACAAAAATATCTGATTTCCTCTAATAGAATAGCCTTCGCATTCATTGAGTATATTATTATGCATATACTGTAATGCTTATTCCTGGGACCGTAAATAAATCTAAATGCACATACATTTTGCATTTGACCTTTTTCTCCTCACATGATCAATTATTGTTGGACTTACTGGGTGCTCTGCAATGCTATACATTCCTATGCATGCATACAGCAAACTTTAGATGTGAGATTAATTTCACATCAGACGATCAGAACTTTGTTACACATTCTCTGGCTGTGAATAGCAAGCAGCCATCAGAGCACTAACAACCAATTGGCTGCTGGTGCTCCTTTTGCATGTGAACAGTTCTGGATGTCACCAACAGTCTTGATCTTAGTTGCCAAGTCTGCATATTATAAGGGACTTTGGGCTTGCAAATCTTGTGAGTCGCGGTTTTTATGGCTTGTTTTGAACGTGAAGTTGCTTATTTGGACTTGACTTTCTTTCCGAGTGAAACTAGTTGATCACCTCCCAGCTCCACACAAGAAAGCAAAAGATGAGCAGTAGTAGATAGTTTGTCCCTTCCACGTCCCCTTATCACACTCATACTGTGGTCCACCACTAGGAGGCTCCACTCACACGCAGACGTTAGGATGTTTTTTTTTTAATATTTAGAAAAAAAATTACATAATGCAAAATGTATTTTTATCAGAGCTTAAAAGTATGTTATTCAAAGTGTTTAGCATGATGTTGCTGTTGTTTATGTGCAATGCCATAATAAATGTATGTTCATACTGTTTAAAAACAGCATCTGTTTTATGCAATGTGGTGGTGGGTTGCCAGTTGGGCTTGTTTTGATAGTTGGTTGCTTGTTTCTATCGCGAAATCTGGCAACACTGACCTTGATCCACTTGAGCAGGGGCTATTTCTAAAACTGAGTTTAGTGCAGCTCCTCAGACCAAGTCTTTTGGATAAAAGTCGAAACATTTCAGCAAGTTTTTATTTATTAATTTATTTATTCAGCATCCGTCCGGAGGACCTGATTTAACTTTGTTGGATTTTTCTACCTGGATTATTGAGCATACATCAGGATAAGCCAACGACCATTATCTATGACGTCACACGCAAAACCCACGACCTTGTTGACAAAGGAGGGGTTGTACGTGTCATTACAGCATTATGTACATTTTAGTTTTTATAATCTGATTTAAATGCGCATTTAAAACCCGAATGTATGTCTCATTTACCGTTTGGGTACCAAACGTAGCTCGTGCTCAAGCTAACTCCGACGTGTGTCTTTTGTTGCCGGACCGCTCCTCCCTGCCCCCTTTTTCCTGTGTTCCTCCGCGGTGGCGGAAGTTAACTCGTAGCGCTTAGGCCTCATCCTTCCAATGGCGACTGCAAACAGGCTGGATAGAAAGCGGGAGCAACCGTGGAGGGGGGTCAGCGCCGTGTAGCCGGAATTAAATAAATATATCACATTCTCAACAGCCATAAAGTTTGCCTGAAATTTACTTCACCTCTCCAAACCTGCGGCCGATTCCATGGCCAAAAATCGGAACATTTCGCTCCTTGAGTCGGGTAAGCCGCAGAAAGTAAACTCAGTTTTTGATTCACATCGCTCGCACTAATTGACTCCCCAGCTGTTTTCCTCCGCTGGATGGTAACGTACTCACTGTTTAATTTCAGAGCTCTATTATTTAATTTCTCGTTTCCTAACTACGGGTCCCTGTCGGAGAGCGGCTGAGGTGAGCTGGCGAGCTTTGACTAGCACGGTTTGTTGAATTTCAACACAGTTGACAGTAACTGTTAACAGCGGCTTTCTGACCAGAAACACGTTGTTCATCCTCCGCAGGTCCTCGCTGCTGAGCTGGAGCAACATCAGGTCTGTATTGTCGCTGCCTGCTAGTCCACTGCTAACTAGCAGCTAGCCGTCGGCGTTGAGCGAGTCTCGGCACAACACTTTCCAAACTCAGTCGACTTTTAATTGCCCCACTCATTTGACACCAGCCGGTTTTTAAGCTAAAAATGCTCCTGCCTGCTTTTTTCTGTGGAAACTCCGTTTTACCAAACTCTTGTTTTTGACAGCTCTTACCAGGAAGACTGGACTGGCTGGGAAACGAGCACCCGAGAACATACGAAGATGTGGTGAGCTTTAACTTTTTGCTTGTTTTGTTTATTGTCAACGGTTGTCGCTGTCCTCTGACAAGGGGCTGTGCGCGCGCGCGCGCGTGGGAGTTCACGCTCTGTGCTTGTTTACGGTCTTTGTTCTGTTTCCTTCTTGGCCTACTGTTCAGTGTCCTTTGAGTGCAATGAGCGATTAAGACAAAGCCAGTACCCGCCGAATAATTTGTTCAGAGTAAAGTTTTGAAACGCGTCGTGAAAGGCGCATTAAATTGGACGTTATTGTTGTTTTGTCCCAGCTGTCGCGTTGCAGTTAGGCCGGGTAGGTCGGCTTCTCGTTTGGCTCGAGAGCCCGAGCGTTATCGACCAATCACAATGTTGCGCTGCGTCATTCTGCCTGTGACCTGCGCTGTGATTGGTCTATTAAAAACTAATTTGCATATAAAGCCACGCCCTACAGAGAAAGGAACGAAATAACTTATTTCAGACATTTTTTATTATGAAGCAGCAAAATGTTAGTTTTTACACCGATACAGTAACTTTCGTACAACTAAAACAAGCCTTAGGAAACATGCATTAAATTTATCACAACTCAGCTGAATGCCTTTAATTCTACACAATGCTGTTTTGAACTTGATCTTAATGTTCAGATAAAAATGAGAGGTATTTTGGAGATCATCTAAAAATAATAGAAAGCCGCTGTAACTTGAGAGGAATAGGTAAGAGTGGTGACAACAATTGATCTATGGAATAATATATATTTAAAACAAACTATGCGGTTGAATGTATTTAACTGAATGAAGTTTTGAACAATTTAGAAACTGAGATGAGCTCATTGTTCAGAAAACACACAAGCTGAAGTATTTCCATGCTTTGTTTATATAGTTTTTATGTATAGCAGAACGGTAACCATAGAGGTGTCCCTTTTTAAAAAAAAAAACCACAATATACATATTAAATTCCATTTTAGTCAATCGTCCAGTTTGTTAAACGTTGGTAGTACTTTGTGTCTAGTGACAATTCTGGTTTTGTTTGCCTCGACAGGTCGTGGCCAACAGACATATTGCACCTGACCATTTGCTCCGGATTTGTAAACAAATTGGACCCCTCCTTGACAAAGAGGTGCCATCTTGTGTCCCAGGTGTATACTCTCTCCTGGGGTCAGGAAAGCAGTCCGTGCTCAGGACTACGAAAGGTGCTACCACACTTTAAAGTTACAAGCAGGAAACGTGACAAACTTTAATTTACAGTTTGTGTAGTCAAAGTTGTTTACGTATTAGGACATGTCAGTAGTTGGTGTGTGCAGTTGCCAGATATGATTTATTTATTTTTGTTCTAATGCATCTGGTTGTGCGTTAAATCCCTATGTGAACTATATGTGTTGTGTTTTGCAGACCGTGACAGTGTGCGGTTGAAAGCTTCGACATATGCAGCTCTTCACCGGGGCAGACCACCAGAGAGGCCTTTGAACAACAAACAACCTCCACACCTGGGTGGGTGTCATGTCGCTCTCTGTTCCTCTTTGCGGTAACAAATTAGATGAACCTCAGGATGCACTTGAATTGTTGTTGTTGCTGTAGTTCTGCACTTGTGTCTCAAAAACGTAATTTTATTCTTGTTCTTAGTATTTGAATATGTTTGTGTTTCTACTTTGTTGGCAATTAACTGCCTGCCATGCTTGTCAGATTGTTTTCCACTGCATCCCACTGTAGTTTATTAACTCAGAACCCAAAATAATTCATTCACTCAGTCATCTTGCTCGGCGCTGTAAAACTCATCTCTCCTGGTTGATCGTGTTTGCGAGGCACCTTTTGCCTTTATACTGTCAGAGTCTTGTTAGACCTGTTTTCAGTATGTCCTGCTGAAGGAACATAACACGCACACACGGCTTCTACAGGATCCTCCTGGCTCTCCATGTGAATGTAGAGCTGTTTTTCTTTTTGCTGGTCCCTTCTGCTTGGGCAGCTCCAGCCAGTGAACTTACGAGATTGGCAATTGTTTTACACTGGACGTCCTTAACACACCAAACCTGGGCTCCAACTCACAATCCCAGGATTATAAAACCACAGTACTAACCACCAAGCTCCCACAGCCCCCATGCGTGCGAATGTACCGTAACAATACAATAAGTCTGAAGACGTGCCTCTGTCAAGATCAGTTATGTCTGGAAAGCTCACATTTAGAGACCTTTGGATTATTTTAGTGCCATTTTTCTTTCATTTGTGATTGTTATTTTAAAAAAGAAGTTTTAATGAGCTTTCATGTAAATTACTGTAAACAACAAGCTGGAAAAAAATAGTCTTAATCAGAAGTAGGAAAAGTTTAACGCGTTCGCTACATAATCAGTTTTGCAAAGGTTTAAAAGAGAGATGAGTAGACAAAATCCTAAAAGCACAGAAACATTCAGCTTGTTTGTTTTTACTTAATGTAGTTGTACCAAACAAAAGTGTTAATGGGGAAAAGAAAAAGTAAGAAGTTGTGTGAATGGCAAATTACAGGTCATGATTAAAGCATAAAGGTTTTTCCTTTTGAAGCTCATCCTGTCATGATTCTTTGGGGGGAGTGGTGGCGCAGAGGCTAGAGAAGATGGGCCTGCGATTGGAAAGTCGCGGGTTCAACTCCCGGTACCGTCAACATCAAAATGTGGGTGGAAAAGGTGCATAGTTGCAAAGTCTGGTTATTATAAGCGACTTTGGGCTTGTTTGTTTTCTAAAGTCGCTTGTAAATATTGTGAGTCACAGGTTGTGGTTTTGTAGCCTTGTTTTGAACGTGAAGTTTCTTATTTGGGCTTGACTTTCTTTCCGATTGAAACTAGTTGATTATCTCCCAGCTCCACACAATAAAGCAAAAGACTAGTAGTAGGTAGTTTGTCCCTTCCAAGCCCCCATTTCCTGTTTATCGCTCCTGCCCAAGTTGGCAAGGCGATAGGCGCACACCCACCAAAACAAACACTCATACTGTGGCCGACCACTAGGGGGCTCCACTCACACGTAGATGTCGGGATGTTTTTGTTTTTAAAAACGTAGAAAAAAAAATTACATATGCAAAATCCATCCATTATCTTTACCCGCTTCTTCCATTTTGGGTCACGGGGGTTGCCGGTGCCCATGTCCAGCAATCACTGTGCGAGGTGCGGGGTACACCCTGGATGGTTCTCCAGTCCATCACAGGGACACATAGAGACAAACATTCACTCTCTCACTCACACCTAGGGACAACTTAGAGTTACCAATCAGCCTAACATGCATGTTTTTGGTCTGTGGGAGGAAACAGGGGTACCTGGAGAAAACCCATGCATGCACGGAGAGAACATGCAAACTCCACCCAGAAAGGCCCCTGGGCCGGGATTTGAACCAAGGACCTGCTCGCTGAGAGGCAGCAGCTCTACCAGTTGCGCCACCGTGCTGCCTCATATGCAAAATCAATTTTTTTTATTTTATCTGAGCTTAAAAGTATGTTAAGGCTCCTAACCCCCACCATCTGCTCCCAAAAACAGGTCTCTCTTGAAAATGCGTTCTCGTGACTCAATGAGACTACCTGTATAAATAAAGGATGAATGGAGAAAAAAAAAAAGATTCCCCACCGTCCTCCACTATTTCCCAATTTAAACACTATTGTGTTGTGATTAGCGTCTTCATCTGTAACATTTTATCACCGTTCTCTCAAGGTTTGTCTTTTTCCCCTCTTCCTCTCAACAGTAAAGGTTCATCGAGGGAGAGAGCTGACGGGAGTGCAGTGCTTCAGCTCCATCAGTCCTGTCGGCAACTATGAGCACATGCGTCTGCACAGGCGGATCCTGGGGCATCTGTCTGCTGTGTACTGTATTGCATTTGATCGCACCGGGCTTCGAATCTTCACAGTAAGATGCAACACATTTTTATGATTAACTGTATTATTTATGGAATGATTACTCGTCTGACTGTGGACAAAGGTCTTAATTATTGAGAATCTCAAATGTATGACCAGATTCTTAGTTTTCTGTCTGTTTTTCCCTTTCTTTTATGAAGGGCTCAGATGACTGTCTAGTGAAGATTTGGTCTTCATTTGATGGAAGACTTCATTCGACATTGAGAGGACATGCTGCAGAGATCACAGACTTGGCTGTCAACTATGAGAACACCTTAATTGCTGCAGGAAGTTGTGACAAGACCATACGTGTGTGGTGCCTTCGTACCTGTGCCTCCGTGGCTGTGCTGCAAGGACACAGTGGATCTATTACCTCCCTACAGGTAATCGTTTTATTTACCTGTTGTTAAAACAGTTTTTTCTTCCTATCAAGACAAGTAGACCAGTTTTTCCTTTTATGCCAATGTGCTAAAATACTTTTCTTTTTGCAATTAGCTGTCATTCCCCTTATTCACGTTGTACCCTTTCCTGCGGTCCAAACGGTTACTGTCCCAGTTGCCTATTTATGTTTATGCATTTGGACTGGCAGAGTACGATTTCACCTGGAACATTCTGGCATCCATTCTCTTTCAGCTAATTTGTCAGAAACGGATTAAATTAGTTGCTTTTGTATTTGAAAGGTTGTTTGAGTGGTCAAAACCTCTCGTAAGCCTAAAGTTGTCTTAAACAGTTAAAATGAGTTTAGGCAAAAATAGATTTTAGTTGTAAGACTGAGTATGGACTCCTGGCCATACTGTTAAATTCATAAAGATAATCAAAAGGGAATATTCCATGTTCTTGTGATTTTGCTGGATTTGTGATGTCTTGGGCCTGCAAGTTTGAGAACCATGATGTCATTATACATCAGGGTAACGGATCAGTGGTTAGCACTGTTGCCTCACAGCAAGAAGGTCCTGGGTTCAATCCCCGGTTGGACCTGCGGTCTTTCTGTGTGGAGTTTGCATGTTCTTCTCGTGCTTGCGTGGGTTTTCTCCGGGTGCTCTGGTTTCCTCTCGCATATCAAAAACGTGCATGTTAGGCTGCCTTCAGGCCCAGGCGTCCCTTGCAATAGAGATCTGTGATCTCAATGGGATTTGCCTGGTTAAATAAAGGTTAATAAATAAATAAATAAATGTCGTTGTGAGCTGTTGTGTTGCTGCTGGTCTCTGCTGCTTGCTAATTAATCACTGGTTTGAGTTGGCCGCCCCATGACGGTGATTGTTTAACGTTTATTAAATTGTTGAGCAACAATTTTGCCACAGTTTAACAAAATGAGTATATTGGAAAAAGTCTTGCTGTTTGACTGTCTACACAAGAAAAGCAACATTTGGAATAGGCCTGTTGCAATAAACAATAAATCAATTCATCGCATGATAAATAAACTACCAACTTCATTTTTATTTAGCAGCTTTATCGTTTCTTCTAGGGATGCACGATATTGGATTTTTGGCCGATATCCGATATGTTAAAACTTATTCGGCCTATAACCGATGCTGATACCGATATTTTATGTGCGTTCCTTTGTCAGAACATATTCCTCTTATTTAGACTTATTTGCTACAAAAATTGTGTAACAGCTGTTAGAGCTGGTGACATATTCAGTAACAGCCATATGATATGCATAGCACTTTAACTTATATTAAATGAAAAGTGTTAAATGTTATTTATTAGCATTAGTCACCTGCGATGCTGTCTCACTTGTGAAGGCTTGTTCCAGGTTTCTAGCTGCAGTGTGAGATCCTCTGCACTCTTGTGCATTAAGGACAGACTTTTTAAGTTCAAAGTTTTTGTCTATCCATTGTGCCTTAAGACTAATCATGCTAACGGGGCTAACACAACGTCCAAATGTCTGTGGTAAAACTCACCCAACAAGTCGTGCTATCGGCTATTAGCTTCTCAACGACATCGGAAATGACGGCTTGTAACTCAGGTAACGTTACGTCGGAAAAATATCTCCGACTGCGGACGATGTAGTGAGGCTCAACGTAGTCCAAAAATCTTTGGAATCTGACATCCTCACCAACGAAAAATAAAACTTCCACACCGCCGACATTTTGAATTTTCCTCTCCGCTGTGAGATCAGGTAGGGGCATGTGACGTCATCACGTTGTGCTGCCGCTGCAGGCAAAAACGGCGCCTTTTTTATATCGGGGCGTTATTTTAATGGAATGGCCGATGTCCAATATTGAAATTTAACGCTAATATCGGCCAATACCGATACCATGCCGATAATATTGTGTATCCCTAGTTTCTTCGTGTGTCTCTCTTTCTACTGGACACTGGATGACAAAAGGCTCAGGTGCTCTTCACTGACCCCTCCCTTTCTCTTTTCTTTAAAATCTGTTTTAACTGTCCAAAATCACGTTTATGGATCGTTAAAAGCAGCTAAACTGAGAAGCTAAGCTAACAGGCCGACCTCAGGAAAAAACTTCGGTCTTGTCAAAGTTCCAAAATTCACAGTTGAAACCCGTGCCTTTGTGAAAAAGTTTTTTTTTCCTGCAAAAAGAAGCTGAGAACTTATTTACTGATTTTTTTTTATTTTAATTTTATTCTTTTTTTAATTAAAAGCTTTGTGTGAAAAATGCTATGCTAAAAAGCTCAAACCACACCGGGCGTCCACCATTTTGAGAACCGAGAAATAGCCCATGTCACGTCAAGGGGCCTCCCTCCCATTTTTTTTTTAAGAGACACGCTGCTCGCTCCCTCACTATCCATCCTTCCGTTCAAACAGTCTTATACTGCCATCCAGTGGTCAAAAAAGGTACTACACTAAAAAATTAACCAACATTTCTTCTTATATTTGACAATAATTACTAATTACTGTCAAATTTCAAACAATATTATCATTTATCACAATAATTTCTGAGCCAATTAATCGCCCAGCAAAATTTGTTATCGTGACAGTCCTAATTTGGGAAACAATGCCCCATCTGTAATTTGGCGTACGACCCGAGGTCCTCGTTTTCTTGTCGTTACATTTTGCACCCAGTGGACGGGTTCTATGCATGGTCCACACTTTGTTTCTGCTTTTGTTGCAGCGTCTCACAGTGCTACATACAGATGTTTAGGGCTGATTTTGGTGTTTCCTTGTGGATGAAGAAATGTCTAGAAATGGTCATTTGTTACAGAGATATTTTTAGAAATAACTAAAAAAATTTGTTTTGGAAAAAACTTTGTTTAAAGGCTTTAGTAATGGTATTCCACATTCTTTTCCTTTTCTTTTTAACTAGCTTTGTGAACTGCTTTTCTCAAATAAAAGTTTTGTGTATTTTTTCACTAATTTCATTTGTGTAGTAATACACAAATCACTGCAGTTCTTTGCTTTTTCTTGGTGGTTAACTTTACTCTTAATTCTTCCTGTGATTTTGTTTCTATTCTTATTTCAGTTTTACTCTTAAGCTTTAATAGTCTGCATTAAGATGAAAAGTAGGAGCTAACATGTGTCAGACATTGTCGTGGTCCAAACAGATTTCCCCTAAAAGAGCAGAAACATCTGGTGTATGTATTTCACCTTAGCTTATTTTTAGTGATTAGAAACCATGATTGATTTTTAGACACAACAGAAAATCAAATGTAACCTTTAAGATGTCAATAGTAGCTCAGGAACAAGATCAATATCTTCATTTTCCCCAAGGAAAGCTAGGTGGGATGTTACTCTTCAGCCTGCTTTGTTAGGGTGTGGGGTATGCATGTATACATATATATATGCTTGTGTGTGTATGCATGAACTGTGTGTGTGTGTGTGTGTGCGCACAGTTCAGTCGTAAAGTATTCACAGCTTCACCTTTTCCACATTTTATGTTACAGCCTTATTCCAAATTCTATTAAATTAATCCCTTTCCTCATAATTCTACACACAATATCCCATTATGACAAGGTGAAAAAACATTTTTTGAGACGGTTGTAAAATTATTACAAATAGAAAACAAATGAATCACATTTACACAAGTATTCACAGCCTTTGCCACGAAGCTCCAAATTGAACTCTGATGCATCCTGTACGCTTCCTACTGATCATCCTTGAGCTGTTCCTACAACTTAAATGGAGACAACCTGTGGTAAATTCAGTTGAATGGACTTGATTTGAAAACACACACCTGTCTGTATGTCGGGTCCCACAGTTGACGATGCATGTCAGAGCACAAACGCCAAGCATGAAGTCAAGACTCTTGAATTGTCTGTAGACCTCCGAGACAGTTCAAGTTCAGGTTTCTTTATCGTCATTCGCATCACGTGTGTTACTTGAGGTGGAACATAATTGTGTACTCATGGTCGCAGTTATACCCCAAAATAGCAAAAATATAAAGTAATAAAAGAAACAGTATGTAAGGATATATCCTAAGATATACACTAAAAGATCTGAGACAGGATCGTGTTGAGGGACACATCTGGGGAAGGATACAGAAAACTTTCTGCTGCTTTAAAGGTTCAATGAGCACAGTGACCTCCATCATTCAGACGTGGAAGAAGTTTGGAACTACCAGAACTATTTCTAGAGCTGGCAGGTCATCTAAACTAAGCGATCGGGGGAGAAGAGCTGTAGTCAGGGAGGTGACCAAGATGGTCACTCTGTCAGAGCTTCATCGTTCCTCTGTGAAGAGAGGAGAACCTTCCAGAAGGACAACCGTCTCTGCAGCAATCCACTAATCAGGCCTGTATGGTAGAGGGGCCAGATGAAAGACACTCAATAAAAGACAACATGACAGCCTGTCTGGAGTTTGACAAAAGGCACCTGAAGGACTCTCGGGGTGCATTCACACCAGCCCTGTTGTCCCGAACTCTAGCCCGTTTTCCTAGGAAGTCCGGTTCGTTTGGGGAGGTGTGAACTCGCCATGGAACTCTGTCACGGAGCAAAACGGCGAACTCTGGCCCGGGCTAAAACCTAGGTCTCGGTCCGGTAGAAGAAAACTTGAGCGCGGTTCGATTACAGTGTGAATGTAAACGGAACGGGCACTGCTCCACAAGCAGGAAGTGGAGTACAGCACAGGGTAAACAAACACGCATTTCTCTTAGCTCATATGGAGCCGTCAGCTGCCTTGTGTGGAAAACAATACTCTCCATGGTCTTCTGCCTCATCTTCCACTCATGCTGAGTCCATGGTTGAAAAATGACAAAATATAACTCCTAAAACCGCTAAAACTTGATGCCACTCTGTTTTTGTTTTTATTTCCAGAAGAAGTGTCTTCTTCAGAGGTTTTTGTGTTGTTTCTTTCAGTAGTTCTTGGTGCAGCGCCACCACAGGCAAGTCATGTTTAGAGGAAACCAGGCCAACTCCATCCCTACAGTGAATAATGGTGGTGGCAGCATCATGCTAAAGATTAATAAAATTTGGAATAAGGCTGTAACATGACAAAATGTGGAAAAAGTAAAGCGCTGTGAATACTTTCCGGATGGGTGTGTGTGCGTACTTTGTATATAATATGCGTGTATCTAAGTAAGCTGCGATCTGATCTGTGATTTTCTTGTGCTTGTAGTTTTCACCATTTGCCAAGGGCTCCAAACGTTACATGCTGTCAACTGGAACTGATGCTACAGTTTGTTTCTGGCAGTGGGACGCCAACAATATAAACTTTAGGTGAGCAGTGTTTTGTTTGTGTTTACGATGCAAACCAGGATATTCAGAAATGTTCTGCTGTAGTGTACTGATGCATCCAGGTTGATGAATGTAACAAGGTTACGTCAGGTCCTCTGGACAGGGTCTTCTTTGTTGAAATGTTTCATCTTTTATCCAGAAGACTTCTGTAGTCTGAGGAGCTGCAAGTAAACTGTCTTATGAACAGCACCTTCTCGTAGTGGATCAACCAGTCTGCTGGTGACCGTTAAAACTAGCTGTTCACATGGTAAAGGAGGACCATCAGCCTAACGACCGATTGTTAGTGCTGTGATGGCCGCTTGCTTTTAACAGAATGTTGAGTGATGTAATAACAACGTTGTAAGAGGGGGACAGCTTTTACACAGAGGCCTCCGCCCTTGTATAACAATGGACGGATGGTCTTCACGAAGATGGCTTTCTTTACTCCTCTCTCAAACCTGGGTGGGTTTGTGACACACACAGACCAGTACATGCAGTTTGACTCCCATCACCCACTGGAGCACAAGTTAAGAGTCATCAGGCCAGGACTCTGCGGTCTATATTCATCTCCAGGCCAGCGGTCACTCGTTCAAGGATGAAGATGTTCACATCCTTGATGGAGAGGAACGTGGTTTGAGAGACGAGTGGGCCCGACTTCCTCCATCTGAAGTCGTGCGAAGTCGACACATGGTCACGTGGTTGTAGGAACATTCGCGCACACCTTTTCTAGTCCACGAGACACAAACGTAGAGCTCCTGGGAAACCCCTCCCGCTGCAGTATATACATCACTGCACAGGTTTCTTCCTGCCAGAGTCTCCACTGTATCCCTGCATCCACTGTTTGGCCACAACTCCATCATGAAAAAGCACTACACATTTCAGCAGACGGACTCCTCCATACACAATGTCTGCACAATCTTCATCCAGGAGTTTTTTTGCTGTGTGTCTAATTTAGTTTGAAGAGTCGTGCAGCTGACGGTCCGAGCAAATTTCCGCATTCCAAATTTCGCAAACTTCTGACCAGTCGTGCAACACTTGGCACATATGCCTGTGAGAAAAAGTTCGGTCTGGGCCTTGTGTCGAGAAGGGGTGGGTGAAGCTGCTCTGCAAAGAAAAAATTTAATTTTCGTCTGGCAACTTCAACAATGAGAGCCGATTTTGTCACTTCAGATGGAGTAAGTCGAGCCCTTGAATGTTGCCATTCTTGTGAAGAGAACCCCTCCATCATAATTAAACAGGCAGAGGCCTCAGTGTTCAAATGTTCCCTTCCTACAACGTTGTCATTGCATCACTCAGCCCTCTGTAAATGGCAAGCAGCCATCAAGGCACTAACAACCAATTGTTAGGCTGATGGTCCTCCTTTATCATGTGAACACCAGAAAACTGGTAGATCCACAATGAGAAAGTGGTATTTATAAGACTGAGTTTATTGCAGCTCCTCAGACTGAAGAAGTCTTTTGGATAAAAGACGAGACGAGAAGAATCCATCCAGAGGACCTGACTCAACCTTGTTAGATTTAGCTGTAGAAATGTGTAAATGTCAAATAAAATGCCTTTGTAAATGTTATATAGACGTGGTGTGTTCAATGTATCAGAAATGTCACATTATTTTCCTTTACATTGTAAAAATCATATTTTCATAGATTTATTTATTTTTTCATCCTTACATTTGTAAACTTTCTCTTGTCCAGTCCACATGAACCTTGATACAAACATACATCATCACTAGGAGTGTTGCGTACACTTTTGATCCTCACTGCTTCAAGGTCACAAATCAAGGTCAATTTTCTGTATAATAGTTTGTCAGCGGGTGTGTAATGAACAATTGAACCTTTTTTTTTTTTGGTAGACTAATAAAAACAAGACAAAATGTTCTGTTTATACTTGTATGGTTGAGTGAGCAGAGAGAAGCTAAATAGCACAAAGCAATTGGGAGATTTACCCAGAAGTCTCTGAATAACTCCAAAACAACAAGAAGCAAACTCCTTTTGATCTGATAAAATAAAGATTGACGTTTTTGGTTACAATTACCAATAGTGTGCTGGCAATGAGCGTCATCACATTCCACAGAGGTCTTTTTCATTTGTCAGTGAAGCGTAATCTGTGGTCAGACATTGTTAAAAAACGTTCAATTTTTTTCCTAGTGATCGGCCACACAAATTCATAGAGCGGCCGAGGCCTGGAGTTCAGACGGTGTGCTCCTCATTCAGTCCAGGTAATGATTTACTTTTTAAAATTTTAACACCCTAGATGACTTTTAATGTGTCCAGCTGTTGTATACAGTGGCCCTGAGGTGTAAATGAACATTTAGAAAAAACAGAATTACATTAAGCCAAAGTGGAAGTGGCCAAAGCGGAAGTTGCCGGAATCACATTTGGAAAAACAAAATTACATTTGAAAAAAACAAAACGGAAAAAACCCATCACTTCTAGTTTTGCTTAATCCATCCATCCATTTTCTTTACCCGTTTATTCCATTTTGGGTCACGGGGGTCGCCGGTGCCCATGTCCAGCAATCACTGTGCGAGGGGCGGGGTACACCC